AAAAAAAAAAAAAAAAAAAAAAAAAAAAAAAAAAAAAAAAAAAAAAAAAAAAAAAAAAAAAAAAAAAAAGGGCGACAGTTTGGAGTAGAGGCGATGAGGGGAATTTGGTGTTCAATTGTAAGCACCATTACCCAGTTTGGCTCTGAGCTCTTTTCTGAGGATTTTGCCCGACGGAGCCTTTGGAATCGCATTCACGAAAAACACTCGTTTTAGCCTTTTGTAGAACACCACTTGTCTTGATATGAATTGGCTTACATCTTCTTCCGTGATCGCGCCGCCGTTCGCCTTCACCACAAACGCCACCGGCACTTCTCCGGCTTCCTCGTCCGGCATACTGTTATAAGAACAATCCCATTACAAATTAAATCTCCTTTAAATTATTTCAAATTAATTTCATTACTACTGCCAATTTCATTTTAGCTAACCCAATCACAGCTGCATCGGATAGTTTGGGGTGAGTGATCAGAAGAGCCTCCAGCTCCGCCGGCGCCACCTGAAACGCCTTGAATTTTATCAGTTCTTTAAGCCGGTCGACGATGAAGAGCTCCTCCTCATCGTCGACGAACCCAATGTCGCCGGTGTGAAGCCATCCTTCTTTATCAACAGTCCTCTTCGTAGACTCCAAATCGTTTAAGTATCCCTTCATGATCTGATCCCCTCTAATACAAATCTCTCCGGCGGAATTCGCCGGCAACGACGCGCCGGTTTCCGGATCAACAATCTTCATCTCTGCATTTCGAACCACCGTCCCACAGGCGCCGGCTTTCACCGGAAACGGTTCTTTCGCAAACGCTAAACTCATGGTCAGAACCGGACCGGCCTCGGTCATTCCATATCCTTGCCCGAGAATCGCCGCTGGAAACTTCTCCCTCACAGCGTCTTCCAATTCTTTCCCCAGCGGCGCTCCACCGGATTTCAATACCCTCACGGACGACACGTCGTATTTCTCCAAATCCGGCGATTTAGCAATGGCTAAAAAAATTGGCGGCACGATCGGCATGATCGACACTTTATATTTCTCAACTAATTGCAATAGCGAAACGATTTCGAATTTTTGCATTATCAAAATCGCAGCACCGGCGCGTAAACCACACAGCAAAATCGAATTGAGTGAATAGATATGAAAAAACGGCAAAACACAGAGGATAACATCACCACCATGATAATACAGATTCGGATTTTGGCCGTCGATTTGTTGAGCAACGCTTGTGATCAACCCTTTATGAGTCAACATAACACCCTTTGGTAAACCGGTGGTGCCGGAGGAATACGGCAGCGCCACCACATCATCGGCGGCGAAATCCACAAACGGCACATGGGATTCATCCGCGCCACTCAAAACAGAGTAATGCAAACAACCCTCAACAGCATAATCAACACACACGATTTTGACACCATTTTCAGCCAAATCCTTAACCCGATCATAAAAGCAAGCCATGGTGACAATCAATTTCACATTAGCAGCTTTCGCCTGTTTGGCAATTTCCACCGCCGTGTAAAACGGATTCGCCGCCGTCATGATAGCGCCGCGATACGACGCTCCGAGAAACGTGAAAACAAATTCCGGCGAGTTGGGAAGTAAATTCATAACGACATTACCCTTCTTAATCCCGAGATTGTGAAGTCCACTGGCGACACGACGGGCTGTTAACTGAACGTCGTGGTATGAGTAAACATCGCCGGTGGCGCCGTTAATCAAACAGGGGCGGGAGCCGAGTTTGGACTGGTTTTGAAAAACGTAGTGATGGAGTGGAAGATGATTGGGAATGTGAATATCGGGAAGCTTTGATCGGAAAATGAACTCGTTTGTTTGGTTTAATTCAGCGGCCATTGTTGAAGCTTGAAACTCAGATAGAAGAACAAAAAAAACAGAGAAGGGTTTGGTGTGAAGATGATGAAGAGAAATGTGGAGATTTTATACAAAAATAATAGTGTTTGGTTGGTGAGAAAAAAATCAATCGGATTCTTTTCGTTTCTGTTTGTTTTGATAATCGGCGTCGCGGTCAGATGTGAGGTCTGAGGACTTTTCCCCTACTCCCAAACTTTGACTCTCAACAAATTTTTTAAAATGAGAGAGGTAATTTGTAAAATATTAAAATTAAAATAATTTAGATTGAATCTTTTAAAATAAATAGTGAAATTCTTTTTCTATTATTATTAGTGGACTAATTTTTTTGTTTATTTATTAATTAATCAATTTTATGTTTAATAAACATAAATTTACAATTCATTTAGCATAACTAACTTTTAAAAAAACTCTAATAACAGTGATAAAAA